GCTGGGCAGCGTTGCCAGGAGTTGTTTACGGCTATGTAGCAACTGCGGCGCCCCATATTACGTCACCATGGGGAAAGGGGTGTCTACCGAGCGTTGCACACTGATGGATGGAGTGGGGGTATGTGATGTCACTCGTGAGATCACAGAGTTCACGCGACCCCCACCTCCCGCTACGCCATCCACGTCAGAATATATTAAATCCAGCATTCTTTTATACAAACTTGTATAATAAGTCACATAGAACCAACATTAATTAGTGGATTAATGCCATCTGACTTTATTAAACACTTGCTGTTCACCATGTAAGGAAACAAACTTTTCTTAGAACAGTTTCATTTAGCCATTTTAATATTATCATTCCATTTCATTTAGCCACTGTTCACCAACCTGCCAAACCAAGACTTGAGTGAGACAGCAGGCAGAGTGGTAGCATTTGTAAATTTGTGGTGGGAAGACAACAGCACCATACGCAATAAAGAGAAAAAATTGTCTAGTAGTTTTCAGTTTAAATCTGAGCAGCCAGGAATGAGACCTACATTAGGCGACATGCATCTAGATTAGTGTTTATTAAATCACCACTTTATAAACTTTCACAACACAAAACCTTCTTCATCATGAAAACTACTAACGGAACCCACACCAAAACAACAATACTGAAGATATGAAGTTACAGAGGTTTGATTCTGTTATGGTACTTAAATGGTAGAGGCATGGTGTAGTGCAGTTGGCTGAGGGGCTATGCTACAAGCCAGAAGGTCGCGGGTTCAAGTCCCGATGAGGTCATTGGATTTTTTTCAATTGACCTAATCCTTCGAGCTGCACTATGGCCCTGGGGTCAACTCAGCCTCTAACAGAAATGAGTACCAGGAATTAATTAAATAATTTTCCTGGGAAGTAAAGCGTGGCCGGTGCGTAAGGCTGACAACCTTACCGCCATCTTTGAGCTGAATGTCTAGAAAATGTGGGACCCTCAATGTCTCACAACCCTAGGGGCCTTCATGGCCTGTTATAGGGATACCTTTACTTATTTTATTGTTTATGGTACTTAAATGGTAGGAAAAGAAATAATGCCGAATCAGATAACTTATTTCCTCTGGTACACTCATGACATTACATTCAAAATTGAAGGCCAAGTAAATGATCCAGATCTTACTCACAGAATCCCATGCAGAAAGTAGTTCTTTAATGTGCCTGATCTGGAAAGCGGCAGTGGACAGAAACTGTATTTAAGCACCTTTCCTGTTGTCCAGCTTGATGAAAGTTTATTAATTTTTTTTATTGCTAGTGGGGTGGGACTAAGTCCCTTGTACTGCAGCCACTTCTGGCCTATTGTACCAGCCCCAGATGATAGGTGAGGGTGATTGTGGAGCAATTGGAGGAATGAAGATTGGCAGGGGAAACCGAAGTACTTGGAGAAAACCTGCCCCAGTGCCACTTTGTCCACCACAAATCCCACTTGACCAGACCCGGGATTGAACCCGGGCTGCTGCGGTGAGAAGCCAGTGACTAGCCGCTTGAGCTATAGCGCAGCCCCAGTGATGAAAGATTACTTGAGGATGGAACACAGTTTAGGTTTATAATTTTATAGGATATTTGTCTGAGGTTGGTGATAATAGTGAAATATTCAGAATTTCTTGAATTCCTTATTGAACTCTATGATTCAATGGAATTGAGTTTGTGAATTATAGCATTAGATAATTGTAGCTCTATAAACTTTGCTATAATTAAAAAAAGCTATAATTAATTGTTCTATGTATCCTTTCTTACCTGTCTCTGGTGCATGCGAGTACGGCGATGTAAATGTAGAAACCGGTCACAGTCGGCACACAAGTTCCCACATACATTGCACTGAATGATGGCCCCTGTTTCTCCATCATCATGGTTGCTGCACATGGGCTAAACATAAAACATACATTAATTATACATGAAACAATTCAGCCATACTTTATATTTATTATTATTATTATTATTATTATTATTATTATTATATTATATATTATACTTTATATTAATAAAAATCATCAGGTGTAACATGTAGTAGTTAGAAACTTTATTTGTTGGATAAAATATGCCTTAAATATTCACCCTTGTAGGGTCATCATCAGAGGGTTACATGGTAAAGAAGAGCTTGCTCAGTATACATTGATTTCTAGCAGTAACATTTACATTTAAATCCCTTTATAATTGAAAATACAGAGAGTTCTTGCTCCTTTATATACTGCTAATGGACTGCATAATTTTAACACATAAGCCTCTGATGATGGCCCTATAGGGCTAGTCATGTCCAGCCTGCAGGATGGATTTGGCCTATCAAATATTTTCTTAACCCTCAACCATATGAAACATTTTTTTAATATAAGTGTTATTGTCTCACATATATTTTAAAATCTGTCCACCTGGCAAGACTAAATGAATCCACTTCTGAGGTGCAAACAACCATAACATAAAAGATTTTAACTACTCACAGTGATGACTACGCACATTGTTATCTTCTGAGATGTGATGCCGTGTAGTCTGATAAATATTTAGCACCATTCTGGGCATACCTCCATCTTCACGGTTCACTGATGGATGTAGCTCTTTGCTCCAAAACAATGGCAAAATCTACCAGACTGTACGGCATTGCATCCTCTAAGACAGCGCTCTTCACTTACAACATGACTTCATTTATCCCCAGGAGTAAGGCAATAATAATAAAGTATAATGAAATATGGACAGCAGAGGGGACCTACAACTTAATGCAGACATCAAACCATGACAATGGCCTATAGTCCAAAACAATGGCACTGTCAGTGCCTCTCCCGCAGATCAGATCCTTGTGTTGTCAAAAATTAAATGAGCATTTAACTGACAAGACTGAAACTGGAACTATACTGCATGTTTTCTCACACAGATTGACACTCGAGGCCTATGCAGGAGATGTGCACCATGCCAATTCTTACTATAAACCAAAAGTTTAAAATATATAAAATAAAGGTAATAATCACATTTATCTGATTGTCACAAAACTATAGTCTCAAGTATAAAATTTTGTGGTACCATGTGAGCTATTTTCAAAAAATAAATTCCAGTGCCAATGCTTCAGGAGGCTGGGAATTTCATGAAGCTTTCATACTGCCGGAACTTGGGCACCTTAGAATGTAAAAGGTTAAAGTAAACTGGAATGCAGTAGAAAAAAAGAATATATTTGTCTGCAGAGTAGAGATGGTGCTATAAGGCAACAAATAGATACTGGTTTCCTTGAAATCCTCTGAACAAATTCTTTTGTAATTTTGAAATTCTTTTTTGATTTGTCACACAATATTTTGGTTGGAAATCTGCAAGGAAAAAGACTATTTGAGAGGTCTAGATGGAAAAATGATATTTATAAAGACCCTGCAATAAAATGGATGTGCGAAGATTCAACTGCCCCAGGACAAACTCTAACAATGTTCATATCATTTTATTCAAAGTGTGGAATAACTAACTTCAGCCAAAGCACAGGACTGCTGAAAGGGGACATACAATAGATTAAAGTTGGGCTGATAATGTCCAACCCATTTAATCTACAATCTGATCCTTAATCTGTCCAACTCTTACTGAAGTTTATACTTTCATACCTCACCTAACATTCTGTTTCAGATTTTATCCCTTCTTATTTACTTCTCATTACTCTGGAGAAAACTCCTTGTTAGACTGAGAGCTTCTGAGAAGTGCTGTGAAGAATATTTGGACCTGAGAGACAGGAAGAACAGGACGCTGGAGAAATTATACAATGAGGGGCTTCACAATTTGTATGAGTCACCAAATATTATTTGGATAATCAAACAAAAGCGTTAAGTCAAAAAACCTAAAGAGAATAAATTAGTTGACAGTCCTAGGCATTGACAAAAGGTTAACATTAAAAATAAACTCAGAGAAATATATGAGGATGTGAATTGGATTCATCTGGCTCAGATAGGGTCCAGTGGTGGGTTCTTGTGAACACAATAATGAACCTCTAGGTTTCATAAAAGGCAGGAAATTTTTGTGCTACCTCACCAACTATTGGTTTATCACACTGGATTCTGCTCCACAGAGTTAGAATACTCTTTATTAAATTAATCTAGTTTTGGTATTCTAGAGTGACATCATATAGGGCATATGCTCACCCTTGGAGCAGGTGGCTGGCCATCAGCAGCCCCACTCCACTGTCCTGATGACAGTCGCTCCACATGCTCACTGTCCAGAACACATAAGGATGCAAGGGCAAGCCACAGTGTAGGGGTGTGCAAGCAGTCAGATGGTGTACGGTGTGAATCCTCCAGTTTTGTCAGATTTAAAATGTTTTCAGCCACTGCACCCTTTGTCACATTTGCCCAGGCTTCTGACAGTTTGCCCTGAAACAATTTCCCATAAGTAAAATGTCTGCACAATACATCTGACAAACTTTCAGGATGTATATAGTTTAAATTCTGCTAGTCTCAATGGAGTCTTTCATCATTTTTCCCATGAAAATGCCACAGTAAGAACTTAAAAATGGGTCAAGCCAGCTTCCTGCAACATTTCTCCCAAATCAGCACTCAAGATTATCTTACTATACTTCACTATAATCCATGAATATTGATAAAGTACCATAAAACAAATGAACGAGCAATACATATACAACTCTACCTACTGGAGATACCCATTTACAATGAACAAAAAAATTAATCAATATATGCCATGGCATAATTTATCAGAAATATGTACAGTAATTTCAATTCACAGCAAGGATTAGTTTGGATTCCTACAAAATTAAAATCTTGCTGGAGTAAGAACAAATTATCACAACTGACTCTTCTCCTGGCCCGTGTTATAAAAATAATGTAATCTATACCTGAAGGTATAATAACATAACAGCACAGTGAAACAGATTATACAAGGGTTAAGTGGTCTGAGGGTGATGTCATAGACATCGCATGTTTCCATGCGATTTGCTTTAGACAAGTTATAATTTGAAAAAAACACAGTCACATATGAAGAGGACCAGTCCTTCATTTGTAGCCTAACTGCCACATGTTTGTGAAGTAAGAAGCTGGCCACTTTCTCTCAGATTAGGTAAATTTGTAAATTTCACACCCAACTGGAGATTCCATGTACATTTGAAAAATGTTAATATCACTTTACTTATATTATTCCTCAAACAAAATACCATACCTGTTGGCTGAGCCTCTCTATACTTATACATCCACAAACTCATCAGATTATTGTAGTTACAAACATTTAGAGTTAATGTGAAAATTTTCACAAGTTACAGAATTAAAATCAACTTCTGAATTCTTTTTTGTCTTATATATACCAGACGATGGATAGAGTCAAAAATAAGCTTTATAGGTGTGTTCTGAATTCTTACTTACTGCAGCCATATCCTTCATCAGTTGAATAATAACCTCAGCCAATCTGCGAGTAATACACCCTCTTAACCACCAGCGTGAACCAACAAAATCTCGAGGATGAATTGATGTTGCCAATGTCACTGTGGTCAGGCCTTTCCCTCCAGAGGCATCCTTGCCTTTAACTTTCACTTGAACTGTAAGAGCTTTGGCAACACAGCTCAAGAATACATCTAAAATACCAACTCTGAAACAAAGCACAATATGCAGCATTTCCTAATTCTCTTCTAACATACGCCATTTAAAATAATAACTTATTCATCCTCTTTCAGAATATATACAAATACATGATGAAGTGGCAGGGAATGTGGTAGCACAGTTGGTTGTGGGTTCAATTCCTGATGAAATCACTGGATTTTTCAATTGGCCTAATCCTTCCAGCTAGACTATGGCCCTGGGATTGACTCAGCCTCTAACTCTATAAGGCAAGAGCCTGGTATAATTAATGCCAGGGCCCGGTACTGGGCCGTAGCCTGGCAGGTGAGAAGCACTTGTCTAGAAAATGTGGGAGCCTCACCATCTCACAACCCAATGGGCCTCCATGACCTGTTATATCCCTTATCAATCCTCACTTTACCAATTCTTCACATCCGTCACTGCTGCTGAGGTATGCAGCAAGCCTAACCATCCAGCATCTAATCATGTCTTCAGTCTTTAGTAAGTTTTAAGCCTTACATTCTTTATTGTCCATGTTGTTGTACTGTTGGCAACTGAACTATACATATACCTACTGTCAAATACAATTTACACATTTAATGCTCTAAATTTTAAGTAGTTGGTTGAGGGGCTATGCTACAAGCCAGAAGGTCACGGGTTCAAGTCCCGATGAGGTCACTGGATTTTTTCAATTGACCTAAGCCTTCCAGCCGCACTATGGCCCTGGGGTTGACTCAGCTTCTCACAGAAATTAGTACCAGGAATTAATTAAATAACTTTCCTGGGGAGTAAAGCACAGCTGGCACATAAGGCTGATAACTTTACCGCCATCCTTAAGCCAACTGTCTAGATAATGTGGGACCCTCAACATCTCACAACCCTATGGGCCTTCACGGCCTGTTACAGGGATAGCTTTACTTTACTTACTTACTTACTTTACTTTACTTTACTTTACTTTACGCCACATGGTATATCTGTTCATTACAGACACTTCAAGTGTCAATGCAACAACCTTTCCAACCTAAGGTCTCTATCTTTCCAAAACATCTCTTGACAACTGACCTGTGAATATCGAACTGAGGCTCTGGTTCCAAAAGAGCCTTGTTGGCAGCTGATACAATACTAAAATCAGCTGGTGGCAGTCTGTCAACACTCATAACATTGCCGAATACTGCAGGGGATATCTCTGGTAACATACGTCGCAATAACGATGTCACCTGAAAGAGACATTTATATCTGAATCAACTACATTTTCAGTCTGTGTCATATGAATATAGTGATAAACTAGTGTTAGATAAGACTGAAACACATATCTTAATATGTTAATGAAGACTATGTGTGACCTCAATACTTCCATTTACACATGCTGATATACTCTGTGATGCAGTTCATCATAAGTGGCTGTGACAGTGAAAATCTATCAAGTGGAAAATTCATCATGACAATGAACCTTCTTTCAAAGCCCAGCTTCTGTGAAAAGTATTATCTGAACACAGAACACCGCAAGTCAGACTGCCTCCCTACTTGTCAGACATGGTTTCCCAAGAATTTTGTTTGTTCCTCAAACTTGATCTCGACAGTTACAATGTATGATGATGTAGAAACAACTGAACATGATGCAACTGAGCAGCTGTTAGTGATTCAGAGGGAGTTTGCAGCATTAGATTAGTGAACAGGAGCTTTGAAGGGCCTTAATCACCTACCCTTGTACCACATCTTAGTTTTCTGTGATTAAATGTTCTTACTTTCTCACCAGGTCTCATGAATTGTAAACTGTGGCACTGAATACAGTTTCTCTTAGTCTGAACTACTACTTTTCCTACAAAGGATTTTATAACATACAAACTTACAATATATAATTAACAGCATGCGGCCTCTTGAGAAACTGATATTTGCTCAGCTGGTCAAGAAATCCCTGTGTAAGATTCGAGTTTATCACAGCAATGGTTATGAACAGTACTATATCCTGGGATATAACAATATGTATTCAACTGGTAGTCAATTAATGTTTCAGAGGAACATGTCACCTCCATCTTTGGCATTGGAAAGTAACCCAAGCAAAGAAATCAGCATGAAAGTGGCAGCAAGCAAGCAAGCTTTGTTTACTGGATTCTTCCTTGACTTATTTTCCAACCCTGCCCATGGAAGTGGCATGTTCCTCCAGAACATTGGTTGACCTTCAATGCACTAGACAATATTATATCCCAGAAGACAGGACTCTTTAAGACATCCCCTGTCTTTCATAGAACCTGATGTTCCATACTGCGCTCACTAAAGCTCATACTGGGTCATATCCTGAGATGGCTGAATCCAATCCACACTCTCAAACCCTATCTGATCTACAGCACTTAACTTTGGGCCATTACACTGCACCCTGAACTTTACATTTATTAGTCTCGGTTGTTCAGAAGAAGTGTTACTTCACCTGCTACACACAAAGGAATTAGTGACTGTACACTGCCTTGCTTACCTGCCTCTGAACCCTAGCTGACCCAGTATGGAGTAGACTGAGAAGGTCACGTAACAAGCCATACTGATGTGACAGATATGCCCGGCCCACGCTGCTGCCACTAAGTGCCAAGACCATTGACAACATTTCAAAGCAATATGTGTCTGCAGACTTTGGCATCTCTACACTGTGGCCACTGCTAGAACTGCCCCCAGATGGGGCTGTTTGTGCTGAACAGAGAAGGGACTCCCACTCTTCACGAACTCGGGTGGCCTCTTTTCTGATGGCCTGCACAATGTGCATGCAAACCTACAAAGAATAAGGGACTATAAAATGCAAAGCTTACATAATACTCATTTTCTTGATATTCTTTCTCAGACTCAATGCACACCTGTGTGCACATGTACAGAACACATTAATGCATGTGGATATAGATATCAATACACATACCCTTTAATTTATAACATAAATGGAATATAACTTTTCACTGTATCAGAAACACCATTCTCATTCATACTGCAACTTCTTCCGGTTAAGGTCTGGTATTGGTATGGGAAAACATCAATTTGCACATTTATGAAGTTATGTTGAGTTCATAATTCTACACGCAGCTCTGAATGGAAGTGAAGTATGAGGGAAGAACAAATACTGTTTGACACGGAGGCTGCAACGGGGTGCAGACTTTGATATAAATGTATAATATTGCAAATTTATTACAGTTCACCAAACATTAAAAACTGAAATTGTGGTGAATGAACAAAATATATATGCTGAACTGAAATTTTATAAAACTGAAGTTGCAATAATAAAGTTAAATAAAATATTGGGTTTGAGGTTCTCACCACAGTGACTATGGAGAATACAATCAGGTTTGATATTAGAGGTCTACACTGAAAATTGTGAAAGAAGTTTAATTTTTGTGTCAGTACAATACATATTTTACATTAAGCGTAAATTAAACTCTGATTTCCTCAGAAACAGCTCGCTGTGTAAAAAGTATGTCACCAATCAGGACAATAAAGAGTCTCAGTGTAGACTTGTGATGCCAGTGGATGAAGACCATGCCAATGGAAGCCTCCAGAAGTGATACTCAAGGGACTTAGAAAATCATATCTGATAAATTGGATGGGCTGGGGGATGTTGCCAGTGAACATGATAATGTTAGCACTGAATTTGAGACACAAGATGGGAACTGCAAAGACAATGAAGCTTAAACTGAAGATAGAAATGGTGACACTGGTGAAGATGAATAAATGCTAGTAATTTTAAGAAGGCCACTAACTCAATAAATGTAATGTATAACATATTTTCTAATATTTTTTGCACATATGTGGTGTGTTCAAAAAGTATCGAACCTTTGGTCGGCAGAAATACATTTATTGATTTGATAGTACAAAACCATAATCCCCTTCAAAGTAGTCTCCTTGGTAATGCACACACTTCTCCCAGCGCTTCCAACATTGTTGGCAACACTTCTGGAACGCGTCTTTTGCAATGGTGATCAGCCGGGCCGTCGCATTCCGCATGATGTCTTCTCT